CCAGTCTAATGTTGACAGATTCAAAATTCAATGGTTCTGTTATTCACGACAGGAAATTCGCTTAAGCAAGGCTAAAATTGGCTGCTGCTCAGATGTAGGCCTAAATAATATTTTTAAAAAAATGTTATCCAACACTTCCCAGTTCATTTAAGACATGAGGTTATTTGTCTTTAAAATATGGTAAGTAAGCAATCTAAAACACTCAATTTTGGGGATCTCCCGACAAAACTATGGACTGAATTTGGACCGTAGTTAACGGTAATGTATACCATTTGCAAACATTCAAAAACGAAACTGCCAACATAAAATTGCCTATACCCGATAAAGTAAATACATGTATCAAACACCCCGTGAAATCGGTGCGCCTCGTAAACCGGCAGGATCAAGAGAGCGCCAGATCGAAGACAAGACAGGTTTCGCCTGGCTTCCTTCTAACGCAAGAGGGCATGACATGAGTCTTCTGCAGATCTGGCCGCGATTTGTTTTTCCATACCACTATTCGCTACTATAATAGAATTATGCCGGAGGGCGCTATACATTCGATTCCCATTGAATGCTTTCTTTTAAATGCTTAATTCTCCTTTACTTTTTTCTCTCTCTCTCTCTTAAACAGGTTTGTTAGTCATTTGGAACATTGTCTTTTACCAATTTGTGGTTTGGGAGTTTGTTTTTTTTTCAAGGGAAAATAAAGTCCGAGAATCTGAATTGCAACTCAAAGTGCTTATGCACGACCATAGCGAATCAGTGGTATGAAAAAACCTACCTCCTGGCCGCGTTGATTCTCACATTTAAACGGCAGAGGGCGACATTTCGCATCGACGACCTTCAGGTCAGTGAAGAAATTTTCGCCTGGAAAATCGACAACACAATCTGATTGTCAAGAGCTCGACTAGAGGCAAAATAACAAGCAACTGAAATAAAGGGCTACGTCGTTCTTTTTTCTCTCGAAATGTGCAAAGAAAAAGGCTAGAAATGAGGACACGTGAAATGTGCCGGTTTTATAGAAAGGAAAAACAATGATCATTATGTTAATAATTTAATTATATCCTTACTCGCAGCAGAGAAGCTGAATTGCGAAGGACGCGGCTACAACGTGGTCGAGCCGAAGGCACGTAAAGGCGCCTAAGGCAGCCGCCATACTACCCATGTCTGACCACGGAGCACAGCCGGAAATCGAAGTGTTTGATTTTTGTAGAGGGAGGAACACCGGAGTGAGCCCGTAGAAAAACCTTCCGTGGCATAAGAGAGGATCAACGCACAACTCTACTCGCATCTGGTCCGAGCCAGGAATCGAACCCTGGCCACAGTGGTAAGAGGCAAGCGCTTTACGCACTGGCCACCATGCCGATGGTGTAACTATAAAGGCAGAACCGCAGAAGATCACGCCCTTGAATCAAGTACCACCCCCCTCATCCCCCGCTCAGAATTCGGAGAGAATAAGAGGCTTTGGTTCCCTTACAGAAAATGAGGCCCACGTGGTGACTCCCCAGTCCCCCAATATAATGTAGGCAACACCAAAAAAAAAAGTGTGGAGGATAGGATTGCTCAGCACTTCTTTCAATACATCGTTTCATCAGGATGGATTTCGTTATAGCGCCCCCTATAATAAGCCCGGCAGCATGGTGGTCCCTCCTTTAAAGAGCCTCCAAATTCGCGTGTAGAATGAAAACAAAATCAGACGTAACTATAAAGATCTTCGAATAAAACTAACCGGAGCGGTTTAATTTAACAAGTGACACAGTGTTGTTGCTTGAATATTTGGTTAATTTTTTTTTCAGTGCGTAATTGTGAACTTTTTGACCTAGAATGTTTCGCAACAATTTGAACTGAATTATTTGGAAGGAACTATAACTACAGTCGTTCTTGATGTTTGATTATTTATTATGTGGCTGAAAAATGTGTCTTTTTTTTACCTTCCACTGTACATGCATAAGATACTGTTAGAGGATCAAAAAGCTGTGACTCATTATGTTAGGTTGGTTGCAATTTTCGACTATGCCTACCCCAAATTCTTGCCGAGGGTGTGGGTAGGGTAACAGACCCCGAAGGCGTGCCGTGCCCCCGCCTTAGTTCCACCAGATATTACTTCACGATAATGTCCGGACGGTTTTGACAATTCACGCCGTGCTATTACTTTCATTAGCCTATTTGAGACATGGCAGAAACAATAGGAGGCGCTGTTTGATTTGGGTAAAGTCTTTTGTTTTTACCCAAACCAAATAGCGCCCTCTTGTTGCGTCCGCAATATCTCAAATATAACATTTTGCATAAGTTGTTGCATGCATTTTTTTGTGTCTTGAGGGCGCCATACGATCACCCTGTATACCTGTAGCGGTGAGCATTTTTTTCTGCACCCTTGTTGAGTCTTTAGGTTTCATTATCATGGGCCAGTTCATGGGCTACGCCCATGAACTGGCCCATGTAAAGACTGCCTTTTTCCATTCAAATGCCCTTTTTTCAACATGCTTACCTCCCCCCCAATAATTTTGAAATAGTGCCCTTTTTTACGAAGTGCCTTTTTTTCTGATCAAGTGCCCTTTTCAAAAAAGAAGTGGTGCCCTTTATTGTGGCATCTGCCGTTTGGGGTGCCTTTTTCAGAATTTCGGACATGTATCGCCCTGAAAAGCACCATATATTGGCCCTTTGTGTGTATAATTGTCGGTTTTGAACAGCGCCCCCATCGACAGATGGTACCAAACAAAATTAGAAGGTCGTGGGTTCGAGTCCCACCTGAGTGATATTTTTTCCAACGTTCACTCGGGAGGTAACACACTGAGTATACAGTGTTTATACGTCGGTGAAGGGCAAAACCTAATAATAATTTACATCACCCAGACGCAGAATTCCATCTTATGAGTAGTAAAAACAATACTGCTCCCTCTCGCGATAACGTGCCCCGCTTGCAACATTACAATTACTGTGCCCCTTTTTTAAGATGGAAAACTGGCCTGTAAAAATAATAATAGTGCTCCTCACGCGAATAAAATTTCACTGAACTGGCCATCAAAAGCAATAGTGCCCCTAGCAGATAATGGTTTATATCGTGTACTTGATGTTGTTAATTCGAACAAAAAAATAAGTGCATGTATTGGGTGTTTTGACGTTCATTGTAATTATTACGTCCACACATTCTCAAAAAATAATCCTTTCCTTTCCAATTTGCTCATATTAATATGAAACGTGATACTGCATATTGGCTGGATAAGCTTGTAACATTTTCAATTTGAAAAAACAAACAAACAAACAAACCGTGTATTTGTAACTCACGCCACGACGAATTGATTCTGTTTTTACCCCAGATACCACATACAAAACAAACGTTTATGTGAAGCTCAGGACGGCACCAGACTATTCCTCATTTGCATACGTATACAAAAAGTTTGGATATGCAAATGATCCAACATCAGGGTGAGAGAGCAGGTAGTGGTGGGAGCGTTCTGCTCGACACCCTGGGAACCAGGTTGTCACCGCCCTATACCAAGGGTGCCATAGACAGCTAAACGCTTTCACACAAAAACAATTTTCGGAAGGAAACGCATGCGTCGCATAGCATTGGGGGTAATTCACTTGCAAACAAACAATGTGTGCATTTGGTGCACACGGGTCGTGCAAATGGCTCAGAGAAATTAGAAGTCACCTCGTATGGGGCGGTGGGAACGAGCGAATGCCTTTGCCATCGCAGTATAGAGGGAGCCCGTGGCTAGTTCTTACATGGGCAGGTTGTTACAGAGTCGATTTCTTTGAGACAAAACGATTGAGGGCAGTCTTTCGGCTTTGTCCTTTCACAATAATTGAAAATTTACACGGTTTTTTCATAATGCGTGTTGGAGGTGAACTCGTCGCATCGTTAGTAGAGCGGATTTTCAAGGCCTGATTTTACCCCCTTGTTCCGTTCGATTGCATTGACAACGTCGACCATTATATTTGCAGTAATTTAAACTGTCGGTAAATGAAACTTATATTCAACTCACCGTCAGGTACTACGAGTTGACACGAAAAGCGGGAGTGTAGCATGACCCCCCTCCCAAAAAAGTAAAAAAAAAAAATGCTTTTGAAACTCCAACGTAACTTTTTTTACACTAATATTTTTTTAATAGGTCTACCATTTGTAGATCGATCAATATGACTAAACTGTTTCAATGTAGTGTGAACTTAGGTCTAAGAATCCCGCAAGTATAATAGCGTGGAATTCCCCCGAAGGCAAAGTTACATATATGTATACCATGAGGGCAAGTTGTTACACTGTTATTAATCAAATGTTTCTTGTATGAGCTAATGAACAAATCCTTTATGCAACAAACAGTAAGGAATCCAACAAACAAACAAGCACACATGGACATAAACAAAATATTGTTTTATAGAAAGAGCTTCTGCAACCAAAATAACTCTGATACTGTGAAGTTATCACTGGTTTTCAATGTTGATTACAAAATTACACGAAACGAAAAACATATATGAAATATGCACTCTTTTTGTTGAAATGTTCATGTCAGAATGAAGCACAGAAAAAGTGAAGAAAAAGAAGCCCAAAACACAAAATGCTTAATTAGACTTGTTAATTATTTTGCTTTTGTAAAAAGATTTTAACAGGTTCTTGGAACAATAATTGCAAATTCAGTGTTTCTTTAAAAATGTAACTACTTGCCCCAGCACATGTTGTAACAATATACCCCATACCTAGAGTAAATTCATTAATTAATTAATAACTAATTAATAAAGAGTGGCTGTATAAGCTGTAGCCACTATGTTTTATAGTATACATACTGAGCTTCCACCAGGTGAAAAATCTAGTGCTAATAATTATTATGTTATGGCGAGATTAGATCGCAAGATGTAAAGTCCGTCACCACTCGCCCCGGTCTCTCCCTAGCGACATCCAACCTCGATACAGCATTATCTCGACCCACATTCCTGGCAAACAGGAAATCACGTGAAATATTTCTTCATCTCAATCAATCATGTGATACGGTCATCGCATTTATTATGGTTAATTACTGAACAAGGCTGCATGAAAAAAAAAACCCGTTCTTGTTCACCTGGATGCCGACCATGAACGAATTTTTGATGTGCGCTTCTTTATTTTTTCTTTGTTCGTGATTCCTCTTCATCATCATACAAGTGGTACAAATAGTAGCGGCCAGGCGATATCTATAGCAACCCAATACACTGCCGCCCTGAACAAACCAACCACACGGCTCTCGTGTTGACACGCACATGCACGCGCATCAGACACCGTAAAAGGACGATTGGGACGATACCTTGTTAACATTGTGCGCAATCGGTTGCGGATTCCACGCTAGAGTCATGGTGAGCATTACCTGATGCTGATAACCAAACGGAATTATTGTCCGCTGTGAAGGAATTCCAAACTATTGCGTGATTTGTGACTGGGATATATAATTCTACCAAACAAAATATGGAGAACGCGATGAACCAGCAGCCGCCTGTGCCCGGCCAAGTTGTGACGGTTGTTGTTCAGGAGAGGAAACCCAACGCCTGTCGAGCTGCAATTCCGTCTCTACACATCGTGGCGGCCGTTATCTGCCTCATCCTTAATATCTTCCTGCCTGGAATTGGTACGTGTTTTTGTATGACTTCTCTAGATCGACTGATATCGACATCCTCAAAACTTATAGCCTACAATTTCTGTAAAGCAATCTAACCAAATTAGTCCTTCAACTGAAGTGTCTATGATTAACTAAGCTAAACTAGTAGAAATTTCCGAAATCGCACCCTCAAATGAAACTGTTCTTATTATTGGGGCCTCAAAGTGGATTGATGTTCCGATTTTAGGTAAAATATACTAATTTAGTTGAAATTATCATTAATAAATAATATGTCTACGTTATTGTATTAACGTTCTCATGAATAAATGCAACATGGTTATTCCTAATCAGCGTGAATTTTGTTTTAAGAACGCGTGAAGAGATGCCTGTCGATCCAACAGGCTTCCCGACCAAAGTGTTTGGCGTGCTCCGGGGGCATTTATTTTCAACCCAAACCAGCAAGGCAAGAAGTGATTATCACGACAAAACTGCGATCTCAAGTAGAGCGTAGGATGTCTAAATGGAGCAGTGGTTAAATTTAGGTACTACACAATATTTGGCACTTAATTTAACAGCGCATTTTTTTTTGTACTGAAGTTATCTTACGATCAACCAATGGATTTCTTTTACAGAAATATTAAACTATAGCGTTATAGGATTCTTTCACAAAACTGTACTCAGCAACATGCACGCTTATAATGGACATGGTAATATACGTTTACTATAATGAGGCACCGTCATGAGTTAATGCGTCTATTTTAATTATGGATAACTCGTATGTTTTCGCTCTTCACCTTATGTGCGCAAAAAATAGACAGATTCAGTTTGTGTGTTCACTCGAAAGAATTTGTTTTGCGGTTGAGATCAAAATTCATAAATCAAAACAACCTCGAGAGCGTCCATTCATATTGCACAGAACTGTGTTGGTCGATCTTTGGTTTTTGAACGTCAATCCCGTCCAGAACGAAGTCCGCTTTGGGCTCTTTTCTTCCGTTTGGAACAGCGAGTTTTAGGTTACATAAATGGTTATTGAAAATGCAGCAATTGAAGGCAAAGTGCATAAAAGAAAGAAAGCCAGGGGGAGCCTGTCACTGGATATCCATGGCCTTCCAAATAATCAAGACGTCAGTAAAATGAACGTGCCTGACAGCTTTGAACAGGTAAAACAAAGTCAAGACGGCTCGTTCAGCCTCAATCAAAGCCGGTGTAAGATTCCAGTGGGTGTGTTTACGCGTCCACAGCAGCTCAAGTCATGCACGTAGTTATTCTGATCAACTCATGAAAATACCCGCGGGCAAAACGAATTCAGTTTTTTTCATGTCCGCGCAATAAAATGCCGAATCCTACACCCACTTGTCCGCCGCCGCGGAAATCAGACAGAGCGACCCGAGTGCGGATTTACATTTTATCGGAATGTCGATTCCGACGGTCTTGGCAAAGGCGGATGGATATATTCTCGAAATGAAGAAACGCGATATTTTGCCGCGAGCCGTTTATTAAGAACCGGGGATTCAGACGGGTGGTTATTCTATCTGAGAATTATTTTTTATTGACTTCTGCTATATCGAAATGTAAGTTAAGATTCGAGCCCAGTTCCATTTGGTAGTATTTCTTTCCGATCTTGCGTCAAAGCTGTAGTAACTCACATCGTGACGATGGTTGCAGAAAAAAAATTATTCATGAACTATTGTACCGTAACATGATTGAATTGATTGTAAATTCAGGATTTTGTTTATTGTGCCGATCGAAATAATAAAGATATAAGTTGATCACTTGAGTCTGATATTTTGATTTTCTTATTTTGAAGTCTGGAAAATGAGTCTCGTTTTATACTTTATCAGTTCGAAGTCGATCCATTACCTAAAAACTAATTTAGAAGGTTTATAATTATTTCAGGCGATGTAACGAAGGAAAACTATTAAACTAAAGCCGTAAAATTAATAAGACTTCCCTTTTATGGCATGTACTGATCATACTGGATGCATCATGTTCCAGTTTGTAAGACATACATTTCGAAGAACTCGAATTATGAAACCAAATGAAGAAAAAAAGAGTAAGCGATTCGTAAATGATTATACGTACATTTCTAGCTTTTGACCGACAATCATGTCTTTAGAACGACAATAAATGACGAAGCTGAAAGAAAAAAAATGTTCTATAAAATTCTACCGAGCTTGCCGATTTGTACTTTTCGTAACCGACTTGAGAATGTCATTCGCAGTATCATATCTCGTACCCGACCTTTTCCGTAAGTGTGTACGGTAACCTATACAATGAGTGTCGAAACTCGAAACGACTGATATTTGAAACCATTTAATTAAATCGTCAGCTACAAAAGAACCCCTGACAACTGGGTTCTTAAAGGCACAAACCATTAGATACTCCGATTCCAGCATGTAGGCCAACCCTTAATGTAATTGAGCTGAAACATGTGCCGACACTTCTCATTTTAATAAAAAGAAAGTATACCTATGGTGATCATGGACATACCAATGCTTTTAAGCAAATGGACCTATTACTCCAGAGTTCATGTCGTTCGGCTGCAGGGCATATCAAAAATAATTATAGGGTCGCGTCCCTCTGATTACAATGTACGTCTCTAATTTTCCGTCCAGGCTAAATTTACAATTCATCTTAAGGTCGACTCCGGATTCAGCTGCAGCATCTCGCGTCGTGAATTCGACCGGAGGGGAGGAATTTACGGTTCGACGTTGGTAATAGACTGCTCTGAATGATTGCAACTGAATCAAATCGTTCCGTGTTTTACACACCGAGTTGCCTTGAAGCGACAACGCAAAGTCACATTATTTTGTTCGTATTGCAACATCGTTAATAATTGGATTAAACATTGTGGCGCTCCTTCATATGGCCACGGTATACCACATTATAGTGCTTTAATGTCAACACCCGCTAGAAGCTCGCTTTTCCATGAAAGAACATCGCTTCTATTCATCACGGATGAAACTCACGATTTGCTTGTGGTTGGCTCAGCGTTCACGATAGAGGGTTCAAATCGGTTGATGCATGAGGTATTCTGACCAAGACGATTACTTGATTCAAAAAACGACAGTTTTAATGTAAGGTTTTGTTACGTTTGATTATGTGTTTATCAGATAATATGTATCTTGGTATAGATATTTAAAATATCGTGTAAACAGTTAAGTTACATGTTTAATGTTGGTACTCACACAGTTTTTTTATGGACGTGTTGTGTTGTATAGTGGTGCGTTCTATAGACTCTCCTGAGTGACACCTCGGCTTTTACCGAGCCATTGGCAGTACATTTTTCGCTGTCGTCCCGCGGGAAAGTTGCAACACGCTGGCAAATTAAGAGCGCGATCGAGCGGCGACAGGGCGATAAATCCGGGGGCCGCATCTCAAGGCATTTGTTGGGAATTGTGTGCTGTATATATAGCGGTCAATACGTCTGCTGAGGTTACTAAGGCCAGAAGCATGAATCAAGAGGTGGTTAAATCCCATAGAGGGGAGCTGGCGGAGCTCTCCGAGGTGCATTACGGAGATTAAATTTTGCATGATTTACGGGAAGTTGTTCGTACTCGGGGAGGAGAAACTCGACGTGACCAGGTGCGTTAATGCGCAAACTGCATGCAGGGAAACATGCCGGTATGTTAAGCCCCGCTCCCTCGACACAAGTAGGGTTCGTAGACTTCTTTCTAATTTTCTTTGAGGGAAGACCGAGCATTCTTGTAAAATCTCAAGGAGATGGCAATGAGAGAAGAGACAAACAGGGCTTCGCTGGCTGCAATCGTTGAAAGATGTTTTTTTAACATGAGTACCTAATACACCGGGCCCAATTCCAAGGGACGGTCGGATCTAACTGAGGGTTTGAACCTCTGGCAAAGTTTCATGTTTGGCGCTTCCAATTTTCCCTATTTCATTTATTAACACTGTCTAACCAGGTGCCTATAAAACTGCCATTTCCTTATTCCAAAAGATTCCGGAAATTTGAAAGACGTCTATTCTCCCCCACCCCTTCCCCCCCCCCCGCCCCCAGGAAAACAAGCGTATTGTTATTCACGCGTTTATGATTAAAGGGGTATTACGGCCTGAAATCCCCGAAAATTGTATGTTTTTGGATTGTTTACTTATCCTATTTCAAAGGTCTGGTTGAAAGGAAACTAACATAATGCCTTACCATTCCCGGTTGTCTACATCGGACTCGGCGGACATTTTGTGGCATAGCATACGTATTTCCAGCCGTGCCCATTCAATGTATGGTTTCTCGTACGTCCGCAGAATGCGATGCACTGGTGGAACATGTGCGGCAGGATTCACAACTAGCACTCAACAGCTCGATTTTTGAGAGTCAAAATTTTGACCCGCAAAATTCGTTCTTGCATGGTGCTGGCAAGAATCCCTCACAAAAACCGCCCAGTTTTTAAAGGATGGATGTATGGATGTTAAATGATCTTTCCAATTAACATCATTTCGTTTAAAACGCGTTTTGTGGCCCAATTGGGCGCATTCCAGGAAGTATATTTCCCTTTAAAAATGTTTTATTTCAGGTACCATAGCGGCCGGTTTCTCGGTGTTTTGCTGTGGCAATCCTGGCCAGTCACAGAGCGGAAAGTTCGGCACCTTCTGTCTGAACTTCTGGGTCGGGATACTGCAGCTGCTGACGTGCTGGATCTTCCTGGTTGGCTGGATCTGGAGCATCATGTGGGGAGCCGCCTTCCTTGGTCTGTCAGGTGAGTCTGAAACCAGACTTGACCTTGTGACCTCGTGCTGGTACAGTGCTGGTATATTGCCGTCGTCAGGATTTTTTTCTAGATGGGGCAATGCACATTATTTACCCAATTTTATTTGTACATTTTCTAGCATAATTATTCTCAATTTATCATTTTTCGAGGGTGGGCGGGTACCAAACACTGACTAGAGAAAGACTCCTTTCACTTTATGAACCTTAACACATTTTAACATTTTCCCTCAATAAAAAAAAAGGTCTGAAATGCGCACATTAGTGGCCACTCATCATTTGACATTATCTGCAACATCACAAACCGTTGAGCGGACGTCAGACATGAACACTGCAGATTTTTTAGTTTTCATGTTGCATTGTTTTCAATTTATCGATTGCTTGTGAATTTCTGTATAAATCAAATTTTATAATACAATGTAATCAAATGAGTTGTGTCCATTTGTTTCCAGCCGACTACCACACGCCTAGAGAAACCACTACCGTTCTGACCACCACGCCGGCCGCGCCGGTAGCCGGCCAGGCCGTCGTCTTCACCCAGCCCGGAGCCTACCCACCAGGCACGGTCTCCGTCTCCTACCCAGCGAGCCAGACAACTACTGAGCAATCCCAGCCTCCCCACTACATCCGAGACGCGGAGAAATACCCACTTGAGGAGAAGGAGCTGATCCACTCCATTGATGCGTCCTACAGTGTCAAATCGGGACCTCCGCCCGTCCAGTAAACTACCGTATTGTTTTTGTTTCTCCTCCTAAGTAGCCCTATCGTTTGAAAGAAATGTATTCTGAATGCGTGTTGCAAATTCAATATGCCCGCACGGTTGCTCATGAAGTCTGCACGATCTAATCCTAAACTTTCCCTGTGTCTGACAGCTGAATGTATTATTTATCTCTCGAATACCTTTGCATTATAAAGGGTGATTAAAAAAAGGAAACCCAAATAGCAGGACCATTTTTGTGATGAGGTTCTGCATTTAGCATGATCAAAACCTAGGATATGAACGCCCAATTAATAAGCTTTCTTTTTGTGCAAGAATCATTCACATCACTCATGTTCTTTTCAAGTAAGTGTTCTTTCAGCAAAACGAAAACAGTTAACGTACATCCTTTAATGTGAATTGTTTTCGTTTTGTTGAAAGAACACTTACCTTTTTGTGACCGTGAACAGAACTTTGAAACTTGAAAAGTACATGAGTGATTTGAATGATTCGTGCATTAAAAGAAAGCTTATGATTTGGGCTTTCATATCCTAAATTTTCAAAGTGCTACATGCAGATCTTCATTGAAAAAAGTGGTCGATTCTGCCATGCTTTCCTTCTTTGTTTTACTCACCCTGTACAGCCAGCATCATGTAGGTGTTTTTCGTTGTTTTTATTCACTTGCAAGATAAATGCACAAAAGTTCATAGATCCACTCCAGCGTATCCCTGTGGAACAAACTCTACTACGGCTAAATTACCATGTAAAGGTTCTGTAAATATCCCTCCAGGTTTCGGATTCACCTCCCTTCGATCTAGGAAGCACACCGGGCCGTACTGATTCTGCATCACGCATCAAGTCAAGCTGATTACTCGGACATTTATGAATTTTAGTTCTTAGAGAACCGTGTATGAACGGCCTGAATGAACGGTTCATACAAGATGGTCTAAATACTTTTTCAGAAGCAGATCTCTCAAAATTGGGGAGACATGTTGAAATTGCTTTAAGATATTCATAAACGTGGTATGTGGCGAAAACGGCGTTGAAAAATATGTTAAAAAAAAGTAAAGTTAAGAAATAGCGGCCATTTACAGAAAAGTGGTCGAAAACTAATTTGTCCACGCCTATGGCAGTCATGTAGACCTATAGTAATGTACATTATTTGAGTTTTCTGTACATGCAGCGCTATTGTGTTAACCATATCTCATAGACTTGCGGGTGGACAAACTGGCATGCATCTTTCTTTAAACCATCGCCATTTCTTAATTTAGCCTTTATTTTTAACGCTGTTTGCACCCTATACCATTAAGGTACTGTAGTTTAGGAATATCTTAAAACAATTTTGACATGTCTCCCCAACTTTTAGAAATCGGCTTTTGAAAAAATGTAAACGTTTTTGGACCACCCTACACAACGAGAAAACACAGATATTTCTATGTATGTGAAGGTTTCTGCACTGTCTGATTGTGTTGTTTTGAGGACTTTTAAATAGTAACACTCGGCCGCGAATAAGAGTGATGTTTCGAAATCATAGTAGTGACGGAGTTTCTTTACAAGAAAAGCAGTTGAGATAGTTTTTTCCACATCGTAGGGAATGAGAACGGTGACTGCTCTATGTTCCGACACCCCTTTGTTCCGACACCCCTGTCTTCCGACTGCGCAGCCAATGTTCCGACAAACCTAGGGTTAGGGTTAGGGTTACGGTCAGGGTATTGTTTTGCAGGCCCGTACCCCTTGGGGTGTCGGAACATAGGGATATCGGAACATAGGGGTGTCGGAAGTTAGGAACATAGGTGTGTCACCATGGGAACTTGCTCTTATCAAAAACAAAACAAAAATCGGGGTTTTTTTTCTGGTCAGTTTTCTCTGGGAAAACAGTAAAAACAGTTGGAGTCAGCAGGGTAAACGTTTGACTGTTTTCCCCAGCCAATTTTTACAATTTTTAAGAGGGTAAGCGTATAGCGTTAAATTTACAAAAGACACCAAATAAAGTAATAAACTGCAGCTGAATAACTTCACATTATATTGTACTTGGTATTTTTCCTATTCATGCGAATGCTAGAGTGAAATAGCCTAGCTAGAGTGAAGTTGAACCCCGATGTGAATACCGAGTGCCCGCCGTCTAGATTTCGGTCCGGCAGGGCCAGCAATGTGTACACGCGCTTTGTGAAAATATTGACAGATCGTGTGCAAGCGTAGACATAACTGCGCAAAAGCATCGCTGGTATAGTCAACAAAGACGGGGTCGAATTACATCCCGCTATATATGAAGATGTTTTTCAGCAAAACATCGGCAATATTTTTTTGTACCGGATCAATATTCTGAACATTTATCCTAAACACAAGATCAGCATCTTGTAGGTAGGCGTTTCCCTTTGAAACACATACTTAATTTCAAGAGTGTTTGAATACAGCAGTAGACCTATATTGAATGTAGAGGCGGTTCTTGTTTAATTAACACGCATTAGTGACATGCACACGTTCGTCTTTCATTTTTTTGCGTGTCGAATGTGATCTAAGCGCTTGACCCTTCGCTTTTAGAATCACCATTGTAATTATTCAATTTTTTGTTAGGCCTTTACCGTCATGTAAATAGTGTAATGTGCTTATTTTGCTGCTGTGAGTGGTAAATTCAAGATTAATGGCGATCGTTTCCATTGACTACATCTTTTGTCATAGAATTCGCTTCGCTTACTCTTCGTACCGTTAAGGTTATACATATACACAGTTCGTATTCATCGCCAATGCAGACTTGTACGCGAATAAGTGTCGTATGTATGCTAAGTTAGAAAGGAAATATTATGTCCACTTTGATAACAAAGGCTAGGATCCTTTGTTTTGGAGCTGAGAGTTGTGTGACCAACTTACCAGTTGTTATATAGTAAACCAATTCTATATACAGAGGTTTTTTCATAAAACTGTTACTGTACAGGGTACTTTTATACGCAAATGAAAAATTAGTATATTGATGACATTTTTGCTTCATGAACTGTTTAGGAACGAAGATGGTAAATATTTAGGTAAATGTATATAGTTATATCACAGCAGATGACCATGTATTATGGTAGACATTTTCACGGAATACTGTTTACCTAATTATACGCTGTAACTTAATGTGTGTATTGTACGAACGTTTGTAAGAATATAGTCAATTGTAAATTGAAAAGAAAAAAAATCACATACACAAACCGGCTGAAGAGATTCATGTCCCGACCCGGTTGCAGGCCAGTAAATAGGCCCAAAATTGCCCATGACACGCCTGCAAATCACGATTTGCATGCACTCTAATTCTTTGCTATTAGAGCAGTGTTGGTCGTGAACTTGAGGGTTTGTAAAAAAAAAAAAAAAAAAGTGGAAGCCGTGCACAAGACTGCGAGCTTGTATTTATCCATTTGGATTAAATTGGGCCCTAAAATTTGCTCGATTGTCCAGTGGAGCGTGGGCAGCATTTTTCAAAATAACGATGGGTTTCAAGACTGCTCTATCTTTGGATGGAAATTTCCCCTCAAGAGTCATCGGATTACTCCCCAAAATCACAGGTCAACCCCCCCCCCCCCCCAATATTGAACAAAAAATAAAAGCCTGATGAAATAAGCTTTGATTTGATGTGTGTCTCAATCACCTTGTGTGGTTGTAAGTATTTTTCCTGTTTTTTTTTGGAAGTGGGGTTAGTTATCACTAGGGTCTATGCCAGTTTATTTACTGGTCTGTAACTTTAAGACCACAATATTGTGCATAGCTTTCCCTGTATTCTCAAAATGGTATCAAATGAACTTCAATAGGTTAGTTGCTATTCACCCGACTTAGCTGTTTGAGAAATTGTTTGTGTTGCTTCCAAAAAAACAAATTGCACAAAATGCAAATGATCGTATGACATTTAACGTGTTTTTTTTTTAGTACGGCAGAAAGGCGATGGGATTGTGCCTTACGATCACAAGGTTATAGTTTTCCTATCTAGATTTCAACAATTTACCTTAAATTGTAAATTTCTTGCGTCCTTCATTCCGTAATGGTTGCATGTGAATGATATGCTTATGTAATTATACGTTACGCTGTGTATAGCATTATACCAGTAAAGTAATGCTTTTTATGATCAAGTCGGAATTGAAGTGCATCAGAATGTTTGCTTTATTAATATTCATATTTGTACGCATTGCAGGATTGGTCTGAATATACCTTATTCACGAAGAAGCCATTTTCGATCGTGTTCCCTTACTTTATTGTACAAATTGTGAAGAGTTGAATGGTGTGGTGCCAGACTATTTTATGATTGCAGTGCGTTCCAAGCCTCACTTTCCTTTTTTTTCAAAGACGGTTTAAAACATTAGGGTATGTTTATTCACATATTTTAAATTATTCATCAGAGCAGTCTGGTATTAATTTGTGATGAACATTTATTTCATTGCTTTCATTTCTACTCGCAGGTTCCAAAACTGAAGACTTTCCCTCGCTTTCAATTTGATATGGCTGACTCGCGAATAAAGTCTATAGGGACATTGCTGTCGAAGTTTAAGAAATTACACGTCTTTTTCTAAATGGAAGCAAAAAAAACCAAACCCAAATAATAAACCTGATCGCATTTGAAACATCTCTCGTATTCTCATTATTTCCCTCAGTCAGTTTTAGTTCAAGAAAAGCGTGGAAAGAAAATCTGCGATGGATTTTGTTATAGTGTCCGTCATCAGTCCATTTAGGAGTTTGACTTTGGGTTCTTCGTCGGATATCAAAGAGCAGTATATTCTGACCCGGGAGGACCATCGCTAATTATAGGATATTCCATATCCGAAGGTGATTTGAGTAATCCGAAGTCCATTTGCGTCAATCGGCACATGCGCAGAGCTGCATACTTATACGGAAAGTGTGACATGATTGGTGAAACTGCTGTCACGTGTCGCGCGTATGATGTCAACAGGCAAAACTCCACTGAAAGTCAAAAACTCCCCACATACCAATTTCGGAAGATCTTACAATTGCAGATAGGCTACAGAAATGCCAAATTTAAAAGGAGCAATTTCTTCTTTGTTCGAGTTTAAACGCCTGCCTCATCCCAAGTTCTTTGCCCATCATCATAGTTGATACAGTCACTGGCCTGTTGCAGTGGTAAGAAACTGTGAAACTGTGTCGGATATAAGAACGTCCGAGAATGGACAACGAGATGTATATGGGCTATGCGTGATTGGAATCGGTCCTGCCCCAGTTTATGCACACATTATTTATCCAGTAAGATTGGTT